ATCTATGGGTCTTTGATTTTACTTTTCTTTTTATATTACTATTACTTATTTCTGCTTCACATTTTAAAAAATATTTTATTGTATGTTGGACATTGCATTTAACTGTAGAGGCTCCGGATAGTATCTTCCATTAGCAATGATTCTTCCTTCCTTTTGTCAGATAGAGTGAAAGGCTAGTCAATCCAATCAGGTCTTATACTGGGTTGCTAATTTAGTAAGATTCAGTCTATCTCTGGTTCATCCCCATTCTTCACGATTGTTCCTCTTGGGCTTATTAATTAATTTTTGAGAGAGAGAGTGAGCGCATGAGAGCGGAGGGAGGGGTAGAGGGAGAGGGAGAGAGAGAATCCTAAGCAGGCTCCACACTCAGCATGGAGCCCAATGCGGGGCTCTGTCTCAGGACCTTGAGATCAGGATCTGAGCCAAAATCAATAGTGAATCCTCAACCGACTGAGCCACCCAAGTGCCCTGGTCCTCTTGGGCTTTTGATTGATACTCTGCATACTCTTTTTTTTCTCAGCCTTGAAAATTCTACCTTTGGCAGATTTTAAACTTAGTACCCATCTTTTGCAGGTTAAAAATATGGTAAATGCCCTGAAGCATCTATTGTGGGTTTGCTGAAGGCTTTCTCCCTCTAATGGAACTTTGTTTCCAAAGCTCTGCAAGACAAGTGAATGTTTCATTTTGCCCTTCCTATTCAGCCTTCCTCAGTTTCTGGTACCATCCCAGAATTCAGCACATGTCCCAAGGGAAAATCTAACCATGTACTTTATATTTTCCAATTTTTTTTTTTTTTTTGCCAGCCTATGTAACTACAAAAAACTCCACTGCTTTCTCTTTTCCAGCTAGGATCCATTACCTTATATCTACGTGCATAGGTATAATTAATTATACAACTTTTATCATGCCCTTTGTTCTTATTCTTAACTTTTTCTGTTCGGTTGGTGAGTTTTAAATGGCACGTTTTGACTCCCACAAATACCTATACAAGGTGATTTTATTTTAGTTTTCCCTTCCTCTCTCTCCTTTCCTCTCATTTTTTAACTTGCACTCTTCCTACTGGGCAGAATAGATGTTTATATTCTACTCTTTGACCCATGTCCCTACTCTTATTTTAGTATTAGTACTATAATGAAATATATTAAATGCTCACCATCAGTTATTTTGATATATTTTCCAAGTCATCTTCTCTTTAGATGAAATTCATCTTCTAGATTGTTTTCCAGGAAAGGTGTGTGAGAACAGTTATGTGTTTCTATAGTCCTCATACTTCAGCTGCATACAGAAATCTTAAGAATTTATGTTGAGTTTTCTTAAAATGATGCTCCATTATTGCCTTGACTTTTATGCTGCTCTTGAAAAGTGTGAGGTCATCCTAATATTCTTACCCACATAAGTAAACTGGTTATTTTGCTTAGTGGCCTTCATAATTTCTCCTTTTTCCCTAATGTCCAATGGTTTTACTAGGATAAGTCTCAGAGTTGGTCATTTCAGGTTGATTTTACCATTTTTCTCTTACTTACAGAAAGTCTCTTGGATTATAGTGATAAATAATGCTTTTGTTCCATTGCTTTGTTTTCTTCTTCTTCCAGGACTCCAATAATACATATGTTGAACCTTCTTTGCCTTCCATTTTAAGCACTTTTTCTCAGAACTGTTTTACTTTTTCATTCCGTTGGTTGTTTCCTCCTTTTCTTCACCGATGTTTATTAAAATTCTACTTGAATCTTTTCTGCCTTAGACAGACAGTGGTAATTTATTCTTCACTTGTGAGATGGTTTTGTCTTTTCCTTCAAATTTTTCCTGATTAGATCAACTCTTGAGGCATTCCTTCCTGTTTTTGTCCACTTCTTTTCTCAGGTTGTGAACTAGACTTGCTACATACACATATACACATTTATCTAATGCTTGTTTGAGAATACTTTAGTTTGGAGCTTGGTCTTACAGCTTTGTTGTTTTGAGGGAAAATTTTCTTTAGGTGAAATGTTACAACTTATCTTTTTTGTTTCACCTCAGAATAGTTTTGCATTGTGTTGGTCTGATTTTTTTTTTTTTTAATAAGCCTTTTGTGGACAATTTTCTACTTGAAAAGTATTTTATTGTGTCAGTATAGTGAAGTATAATTCCTTTAAGAGATAATGTTTTTGTGGTGGCAGTTTTATGTATGTAGGGGTGAGGTAGGGTGGCTGGCATGACTTATTTCTTCTGTTTCTGTGGAATCCTTAATTTTTCCCCTTCTTTCTTTCCCTCCATTGCCATGTCTTTAAGGGACACTACCCACTTGTCAGTGTAGCTGATTCTTCTTCAAAAGTAATGCTTTCTGAAGCTTCCACTTCTGGTCTCTTACTTTCAAGTTCCTTCTTGCTATAACTTACCAAGACCCAGGCTATGTTTGGTATGTTGGCACTTAACATTTGACATTTTCTTTCAAGGTTTGATTTTGCCTATGCTTTGTTTAATCATCCACTCCCTTTTTTCTTTTTCAAAGATTCTCTGAAGCCCTGCCTCTCCCACTCTCAGCGTCTAGATGTCTTGCAGCAGTGGAGGATGCTTTTTAAAATTTGGTACTATCAATTTTCTGATAACTGAATGTTTGTGGTATCCTCTGTCTCCTGATATTGCTAAAGGCTTGAATCACACGTAATTATATTTGCACTGCTTGTACATAATGTTTTTTTGAAAATGTGTGGAGAGTTTTTGGTTCAGGTGGTTGACATTATCCTCTAGACCCTGTTATCTCTTATTAATACAAATTTATCTTTGTTCATAAGCAGCTCCAATTCATTCATTTTCATGCTTTCTAATAGTCTACTAATTCTTCAATTTATTACCCATTCTCTTACACATCATTTACATTGCATTTAATATTTCACTATTATCAAAAAAATGTTAACAAAGAACATACTTATGTCTATTTCTTTATTCACACATCCAAGCATTTCTCTAGGGTATATATGTAGTATGTCTGAAAAGTGCTGGTTTATAGAATATGTGCATTTTTTAAAAGATTTTATTTATTTATTTGAGAGAGAGAGCAGGAGCGGGGCGGGGGGTAGGGGAGAGAAAGCGGCAGAGGGAGAGGGAGAAGCAGGCCCTCAGGTGAGTAGGGAGCCAGACACAGGGCTCGGGGCTCAATTCTAGGACCCCAAGATCATGACCCGAGCTGAAGGCAGCCGCTTAACCGACTGAGCCACCCAGGTGCCCCCAGAATATGTGCATCTTCACCTTTACCAGATATTCTCTAACTGCTTTCAATAATGGTTGTAATAATTTACAATTCTACTAGCAGTGTTAAAGAATTCTCATTTTCTACACACTTTATTATTTTCAAGGTTTACATTTTTGTCAATCTGATGGATGTGACGTATTATCTTAATTTACATTGCCCTGATGGCTATTGAAGGTTTGGTTTGTCTTTTCATATTCTTTCCCTAGTTTTCTTTTTGGATGTTGTCCTTTATTGAGTCCTTTGTATATTTTAGAAATAAACTTTTAAATTCTATATTTTGTAAACATATTTTCCAAGTTTGTGCCTTATCTTTAATTTTCTTAAAGTTATACAGATGTTTCAAAGCTACAGCACTGTCAAATCTATTATTTTTCTCCATTAACATCTGTATCTTTTTATACAATGTTTTATAAAATCCTTCTGACCCCCAGTGTCATGAACATGTACTACTATATTTTCTTATTGGAGTATATTTTGTTTTTCACATTTACATCTTTATTTTATTTTATTTATTTATTTATTTATTTATTTATTTATTTATTTATTTTAAAGATTTTATTTATTTGCGAGAGAGAGAATGAGAGAGAGCACGAGAGGGACGAGGGTCAGAGGGAGAAGCAGACTCCCCGCCGAGCAGGGAGCCCGATGCGGGACTCGATCCAGGGACTCCAGGATCATGACCTGAGCCGAAGGCAGTCGCTTAACCAACTGAGCCACCCAGGCGCCCAAAGATTTTATTTATTTATTTGAGACAGAGAGAATGAGAGACAGAGAGCATGAGAGGGAGGAGGGTCAGAGGGAGAAGCAGACTCCCTGCCGAGCAGGGAGCCCGATGCGGGGCTCGATTCCAGGACTCCAGGATCGTGACCTGAGCCGAAGGCAGTCGCTTAACCAACTGAGCCACCCAGGCGCCCTTACATCTTTATTTAAACGGAGTTTATTTTTGTGTAAAATGGCAGGTAATGATTTTTTGTCTGCAGATAGATACCTGCTCCAACACCACAAATTCATATTTACCAAGGCTCTTCCTCTGTTCAATTATGCTCAGAACCAGCTGAGTACTTAAGGCCTTTCCTAGTATCTTTAATCACATCCTTTGGGCTTCTCTCTCACCACGCCCTTCCACAGTAGCATTATTTTCTTGTCAAACCAGACTACTTATTGCAGTCACTCTTCTTGAATACGAAAACTCTATTCTTGCTCTCTCCATAAGTCATGTTCTCTTCCTGTCTTTTCTCCTTCCTAAATTATAAACTTCTTCTAAAAAACACATTGTCCAATTCACCTTTGCATCCTCACTAATTAGCACTGATTGAACAGACTTCTGATATTTGTCAAAGAATTTTATTCTTAATCTAATTTGGCCCTTGTAGGTGGGCACTTCCACCTAGTCCAAGCCCTATCTATACAGCTAGGTTTCCACACAGAAGGAAAAAGGCTTCTGTCTTTTATCGACCTTCCCACCAAAATACGCCCAGTGATTCTAAAGCTTTTCTAAAATTTTTAAACAGAACCCTCAAAACAGTTCTAACGCCCAGGAACCAAAGTATCATTTCTGCCCCTGTGTGTAGGACAGGCAAGTCTGTGGTCGAGGCTAACAGGAAAGGGGACGTGCCCCTCTGCAGGGGATGCCAGGGGCGGGCCCCTCCTTGAGCCACTTCGGAGGCGAGGCCGCGCGCCCGGGAACGCGGGCACATCCATCGTCCTTCCCTCTTCCCTTCGTTTCCTCCAGCTGCCTCGACCCTGAAAACTAGCAGGATGTAGAAATTACCTCTGAAGTCACTGTCTGTCCTTCCACGGAACGCTGGAATGCCCAGCTTGGCTGTCAGCATTCTTAAGGACACGGTCCGGCCTTTCAGGCGGGAGCTGCCGTGGGCGCAAAGTTCTCAGGCGACTTCTCGAATCTCTCAGGGGCCCCGCTTGCTGCCTGGTTACAAGATCCGGTCAGGCCGGGACGCAGGGGTTCCCCTCCGAGAGCCTGTGCTCCGCTACGGTGACTGAAGGTCACCTCCACGGCACAGTCGAAAGGGAAGATTCCGCCCACCCCAGGCCCACCCAGAAGTTTCCGGTCTTCTCCTCACGGGCCACCGGGCAGAAGCAGCGGTCGCGGGCTCGCGGGCGGGCAGAGTGAGGGCCGAGCGATGAGGCAAGACGCGCGACTGCGTCCCCAGAACCGGCCGCTCCCGCCCTGCGACCGCCGCGCGCGCCGGAACTGCATTTCCCATAGGCCCCCGCGGTGGGGCACCGCCCTCGCCTGTAGCCCCTGTGCGGCCGGGAGACCGCCCACGCCGCCGCCGCCGCCTCCGCCTCCGCCGCCGCCGCCGCTGCAGCCGGCCTCGGTGACCTGCCCGCTGTGCCTTTGAAAGGCAGCGGGAGGCGGCGAGCACGATGGCGAGACTGGAGCGCCTGCTGTGTGTGCTGGGCTTGGTCCTGTGCGGGGCGGCGAGCCCCGGGCTGTGCGCTTCTCGCGCCTCCACTTCCAAGAAGCCCATCATCGGTAAGAAGGCTGGGTGGGAGCCGCGGGCCTGCGGCCAGGTGTCGGTCCTGGGCGCTTCCCGCTGCTGGGTTCCAGCTGCTGCGTCCCGCCTCGGAGGTACCCGAGTCCAGGGTTACGATGTGTGCCTTCATTTGTAGCGAGTAAGAGCCGAGCCAAGGCACCGTTTCGATCGTGCCGAAATAGAGCTAATGCCTGGTGGTTTCCTCAAATTCATTCGGCTCTTGAGGTTGAAAGGGGGAGGGTGCGCCGGAACGAATCCTGCGGATTGTTTTTTTTTTTTTGTACATAGCTAGGAATTTCTGCTAACTCACCAAACTCTGTACATACGTATGTTTATTAAAATTTCAGGGAGTGAGGGCATATTTTAAGATATGCCTTATCTTTGCATTATCCCTATAAAAATCGAATTGACCAGATAATCAAAGAAATTATGGTATACTTTGGATGCTGCACCGGAGGGCCGCAGTGGCTAGTATAACCCTAATGTCAGTTCTACTGGTGTTAAAGCGAAGCATGTAATTTTTCGTTTCCAACAAATTTGTGTTTTAAAGAGTAAAATCAGTTTGCATTGCCAGAATAGACATTCGAGACAGGGAAGGGGGGAAGGCTACCCAGGAGAAATCAATCAGCCTAGAATTAAAATTTGCCAGAAGCAATTTATGTCAAACGATTAAGATTGGCTTTATTTTAGAGGTAGTATTATGCCATTCAAACTCTTTTACCTTCTGGGAAGGGGAACATCCTATTCTGTAACTAAATAGTAAGTAAATGAGTATTTTTTTTCATATATATTGCTAGTGCCTGGTTTTCAAATGGGTTCTGTATTTGGAACTTGGAATGCCTTATTTCATAGCTATTTAAAATGGTGGTTAGGTTCTCCAAGGAGAATTAACTCAAAATTCCAGGTAGTGTGTTGGGAATTGTGAGTATAGAGAGGAGGGAAAAGGGGGAAAAGAGGTGGGGGGATTCTTTTCCCTTTCCTGGAAACAGTGGTCGTCTGGGGTCAATTACAGAAAAAGGAGTGTGCTTTCAGTCACATCACTTAAGACAGAAATAGTTAACTAAGCACCTAGTATGTTCAAGGCATTGAATTAGGATGTGCAGAGGATTCACAGACAAGGAAACCTCAAAAGTTGTGAGGTGGCCTTAAAGTATGGGTGGAATTTTGGTCCCATTTTGAGGGACTTGCAGGTTGAGCTTTTCCCGTCCACAGATGGAAAAAGTGAGTAGGTGGGTAAAGGGGCAGGGTGGGGGAGAAGTTGGTGGAACGTACCTATTCTAATATACTTTTCTCCTTTCTGGTACTTATGTTCACATGTCCCAAACCCTTTTTTGTGGCCCCTCCCCTTGCCTGCCTTGTACCACTCCATTCCCCATTTCCTGTGACACTCTCTCATTCTTTCCCTTCCACATTTCATTTTCCTCAGTGAAGACCGACTGACTTAACAAATTTTGGCATTTGGCATGTGTTAACTGAGTGCCTGACAATGCCAATTTTTGTGACAAGCTGGAAACAGAGAAGTATAGACAGCTCTTCCTGTCAGGTGGCCTACGGAGACAATGAAGTGTTCCAGATGGTGAAGCAGCGAATGAAACTGGCACAGGTGTATTCTCCAGACAGACATGTTTGGATGTATATTGGGTGCCAGACTGTGCTGGGGCTGAGGTTTCAGTGATAAGAGGTAGCCTGAGAGGTAGGTGGGGCAGAGCACACAGGGTCTTGTAGAGTTTACAAAAGTTTAGGAACCCATTGAGGTACTTAAACAAGGAGATGCCCCCTGTGGATTTGTTATCTCTGATCTCATTTCCTATTGTTTTCTCCCGTTGCTCACATGAGCTCTAGTCATATGGACTCCTTGAAATGTGATAGGCACACACTTGACTGAGGGCCTTTGCACTTGCTGTTCCTCCACCCCTGGATCCCTCTTCTTCCAGATATTTGCATATGGTTTACTTCCTCATCTCTCTGAAGTCCTGGCTCTCAAATGTCATGTTCTACCTTCTCAGGGAGGACTTGCCTGGCCATCATATTTAAGAGACTTTCTTCCCCTGGATGGATGGGACCAACTCCTCCCCCTCTCCAAAACAGGCCTTCTTACTCTGCTTTACTTTTTTTCATTAGCGTTTACCACCAGCCATCAGACTTTATATTTTAACTTTTTATCTTGTTAATTATTCGTCCTCTCTTCTCTCCCTCCCACATACTAGGATTAAAGCCCATAAAGGAGGGATTTTTGTTTTGTTCGCTCATGTGTCTCCAGCACCTAGTTCAGTGCCTTATATATATTATGATTCAGGAATATACTGAATGAAGAAGTGAATGAATGAATGCATGGTGATATGATCAGATTTCTTTCCATGTGGAGAACTGGTTGGAGTTGTTGAGGATTGTTTAAGAAAGGATATAGATCTTTTAAGAAGCTATTGTAATAGTCTGAAGGGGAGGAGGCAGGATGTTGGTTGCTTAGATTATGTTGCTGATGTTGGAGAGATGTAGATAGAAGATATTTTCCACTCTTTTGCTTTATTGTCAAGGTAACAATGTCTTTGAGTGTGTGGGAGAGGAGAGGCCTCCTTCTAGCTTAAGGATGTGAGATTGATTCTAGGTTGTGTGAAGGAGGCTGGTGCTATTGTAAACCTGCTTTGGGGCTTATTTGGTCTCCTTGATGAGGTGAGAGAGAGGAGGCTACTTAAAACTCAGAGCAACCTCCACTGTTTTTTCCCAAAGTCTGAGGAAGTACTTACAGAAGAAGCTTTGTATTTAATTCTGTGAGTGAAACAAGTAAAGTAGTGGTATTTTTTTTTTAATTTTTAAGATTTTATTTATTTGTCAGAGAGAGAGAGCACAAGCAGGGGGCGCTGCAGGCAGAGGGAGAAGCAGGCTCACCACTGAGCAAGGAGCCCAATGCGGGACTCGAACCCAGGACCCTGGGATCATGACCTGAGCCGAACGCAGACACTTAACCGACTGAGTCACCCAGGCGCCCCAAAGTAGTGGTATTTTTACTGTGATTTGTTTCAGTTTCTGAGTAAGAAAAAAAGGAAATTGCTTGAAATTAAAACTATTTTTCTTTCTTTCTTTTTTCTTCCCTTCCTTCCTTCCTTCCTTCCTTTGTAATTCAGGAGTATTAATGCAAGAGTGCCGTAATAAGGACATGAGAAGCCTGGGAAAATATTATATTGCTGCATCCTATGTAAAATATCTGGAGTCTGCAGGTGCAAGAGTTGTACCAGTAAGGTATGATCCAATATTTTTTACACTGTATAAATAAAAACTCCTGTTTTTTCTCAAATAATTTTTTTATCTCAAAAATTAATGTTTCCTTTGCTAAATGATTGCATCATTTAAATGTGGTAACATTGCTCCTGATTTTTTTGCCAAATCTAATGCTTAGAGTCATTAAATTGTTTAAAGTATGAAGCTGTCTGTATTTACAATGCTATTAGAGGTCTGTCAAACATATTAGGTAAAGAATGAAATGGTAGTTTCCTATACCCCAGAAAAGGTGGTATTCATCAGACATTTGGAAAATAATGGAGTAAAAGAATCGATAAATTAACCAGCTTTATTCCATAATATTAGGATAAGGGAACACTTATGGAATGAAAGAGATTTTTAGAAGATGACTTTTAAAATACCTTCACACTCTACTTTAAAAATTTGTAAATGACTAACACAGCAGTGTTGCTTCAATATAAATTACAAGAATTGCAGTCTTAAAGGAGCTACATTACTTTTTGTGATGTAATGGCCTATTAAGACTAAAATGACATGTCATATTTTGATTGGGAAAGAATTGAATTTTTTAACAAACAAAACCTTATAAGTATTTATAATATCTTTTCACCCCAAATTAGCATATTTTAGAATCTTCCAGCTCTCCTATCTATTCCATCATAAGTGATTTCACACACAAAACACAATTGTGTGCTTTATGTAATTAATTCCACATTAAAAAGGTATAACGAAGAAAGGTACTGTTCAAATAAAACAGTGATAATCAAAATGCAAACATTACAACTGAGAGAATTATACCACAAAATGGCTTTATGTTTAGCTTCGTAAGGATCACCTTCTTGCTTAATCTTTTACATTTAACTATCTCTACCCCATTCGCTTTTGACATTCGTCTTTCATTTTTTTTGTAGCAAATCTAATTTTTCAAATGAAACCTTATTTGGAACTCAGATAACACCAGAGTTTTAGAGCTGAGGAGGTTTTCAAGTTTTCAGAACAGCGTTTCAAAGTTTTGATCATGGGAGCTTTTTCTGCAAGCGTTCTTTTAGGACATTAGTGCTGATAGCCTGGATGGGACATGGGAGAGACACAGGCAGGTAGACCAGTTCAGAGACTTGAGGTAGGCTAGGTGTGAAGTGATGAGAGCTTGGCTTACTTGTAGGATCGATGGGTAAATGTTCTCTAAAAGTATCAGCAAGATTTAATGACTAATAGAATGAAAGGACATAGGGAGGAAAAGTCAAGAATGACAAGTTTTGAAACTGGGCAAGTTTTGAAACTTGGGAAGTTTTGAAACTGGGGAAGTTTTGAAACTGAGAAAGTTTTGAAACCTAATGACTAGCAGCAGAATGCTGATAT